TCCTTCATGTAAAAAGCGGCATGTTCGGCAGGCTTTACTCTTTCAATACAGTCTAAGTAAACCTGGGCTCAGTATTATTCGAATTATTAACGATGTGTTCAATATGGATTGAGAGACATTTTGTCGAAACGAGCCTTTCAACCACGTTACACTAATTTAATTTTTTGGTTATATTTCCTAACCATTTACTACTAGTTCCATTACTTTGAAAATAGAGGTAACTATAGATAGAGTAGCCTATATCATTTAAAACTAGGTTGTAATTTCTCAGTTATTTACGATCCCAAACTTTTCCATAGTGGTAAACTGTTGTAACCAACCGATAGAATGTTGAAACATTCCAGTGCGAGATTTATGTTTAGAAAATCTTACTTTTTTAACCCTTTCTGACAAACCTTTGACTGCTGTGAATTGACGCAGTTTCTTGCAAAACTTTACTCACTGAATTTGCAATCAATAACTATTTTGAGTTCCTTTTCAGCGCTATAATTGGATATAACATTTTCATTTTGTCTTTATCTTGGTTGGTAATTTCAGTTTAATGCAGTGATTATACACAGCGTCAACAGGTTTCCGGGAATCTGGTCTCTTGTCTAAAAGAAAGGATTCATCCGTGTAAAACAGAAATTATAATGTAACATACAGAAGGTATCATCTTCGTCACATTCATTACATTCAATTTCTCAAATTTGAAAAAAACCAACTGATTAAAGTAAAGGTGATAAACGTTCCCCTTGTCGAACACCAGCATAATTTTAAAAGGATCTGACGCCCGTTGTAACTAACCACATCGCATGATTCTATATATTATATAAACACCTGGTGTTTATCAGTGTAAAACATATGTCGCTGACTGTGTAGAAAAATGTGAATTGAGTTGATTGGAGTAAGTTTAGGTTTTATGCCTCTTTTAGCAATATTCCAGCAATATCACGGCGGGGACACCATCAATGGGCACGACACATTGTACCCATGTGGGGAATCGAACCCGGGTCTTCGGCGTGACGAACGGACGCTTTAACCTCTAGGCTACCTCAAATGGAAGACCCAATACGATACTACATCAGTGTTTTCTAAACGTGTAGTAATGCATTCAAGCAGGACCGAGAAAGTTGGCTGTTTGAAAACAGAGGTGAGGAATCATTTTTAAAATAAATAACATAAAATTTTCCTGAAAGAAACAATGATAACAATATTTATCAGATTCACTAAGAAAATTATGTTGGAGTACAACAAAGCATCACTTTCCAAAACAGTCAGGCTAAATTATTTGAATACTAAAATGTAACTAAATTGAGTTGTCACTGGTAATATTAATTGATTCCATTATTTTAACATATTTTTAAAAATACTAATCATGTAATAAAATCATTTTTGGAAATAATATAGAAATGAATGCAGATTATAGTATTGGAAATCGGATTTTACAACTACAGCCTGTTTAGTGGGAGCGTACTCTGACCTTTATCTGTTGAACGGGAGGTCGTGTCCGATCGTGAGATGTTGCACGTCTAATAACTTATAGCATACGCGCCTGCTCACACTCTTCTCGCTACACGTGTTCTTGAACACGGGATCGATTAGCACAGTTTGAAAAATGTGAAATATCAGCATATTGTTGAAATCAGCTATTAAGTCGTCAGCAGCGGTGAATGAATAAACCTTCGGCACATTACTTTTTACTTGAATAAATGATTCTTAATTACATCATCATCACCATCATCATCATCATCGTCGTCGTCATTGTTGTTGTTGATGATGGCATTATAATTATTTTGTTATACATCCCTTCGCAGTGTGTATGTGAAGTGTTCACAAGAATTATGTGAACACTAAAATTAGCTTTGGCGCTATGAGTGCGTCCTATTCGAACACAATGGTAATTAAATATGATCTGTAAAGGGAATCTCACAGACTGAAAAATTTACCCCTCATGATATTGTCACATAATTTTAATAAGGCCCCGAATTTTAATCACACTTACAGAGAGAGAGAGAGATAATGTCTATTTGAGTCTTACTTTCTGTAGATTGTCATATAATGCAAGCCTTTTGGTGGAGTTTAAAAGTACAGAAACCACCCGTTAGGTTATGAGAGCCTATTTAAAACCAATAAAATCATTGCAAACCTACAGTATGTACACACATATAACCGTATATATTTGAAGTTAAAAAGTACAGGTATGCATACATACATAACATATATACAACAAACATACATACATACAAACATATACAAAACAGCCATACAACCGCACATAATACCCGCATACCCGCACATACATACATACATACATACATACATACATACATACATACATACATACATACATACATACATACATACATACATACATACATACTACACGCATGCACGCATGCACACTAACACATACACGCATGCATACATACATGCATACATACATACACATACATGTACATACATACATACATACACACACATACACACCACATACATACACACACACATAAACACCACA